CCCCCGGGCGGCCGAGGGCAAAGCCAGGGCACCCGCTGCAGACCCTGGGCTGGGCTGGGCTGGGCTGGGCAGAGCAGCCCCCAGTCCCTGCCCCCAGCCTCAGCACCTGCCCCCAGCCCCTTGCCCCAGCCCCTGCACCTACCTCCAGCCTCAGCCCCTTGCTCAAGCACCTACCCCCAGCCCTTGCCCCCAGCCCCAGCGCACCGGTGACGTAGGCGAACACCTCCCCGTCCAGCTCGGGGAACTCGCTGCGCAGGATGTCGGCGCACGAGGCCATGGCCCGGCCCGGCCCGGCCCCGTTCCGCTCCGCCGGGCCACGGAGTCCCGGAAAGGGCAGCGTGCGCTAGAGCTGCCGGGAAGGCGGGTCAGCCACGCGCGCGGGCTGCTGGGAAACCGAGTCCGGACCCCGGGGACGGGGGAGCGCAAGGGCTGCTGGGACGTGGAGTCCGCGAGGCGCGGGGCATGCCGGGAATGTGGGCCGCCGCGGCGAGGCTTCCCGCCTTGTGCGGGGGGCGCATGCGCAGTGCTGCCCCAGTGCGGGCGTCCACCTCGTTTCTGTCGTGGGGGGGCAGCCCCGGGCCTGCAGCCAGACACATCCCCGACGCCTCCGGGGCAGCGTCGGGCGTGGGCGGATCTAGGACTTTGTGAGGGGGAGGTGCAGGATCGCGTGTGACACCGTCTCTCGTTTTCTCCGGTTACAAATAACCAGCAGCTTTGCTCCTCGGCCCGGACCATTCAGTTGAAGATCGAAGCCAGAAGAAGCAGAGCTTCAGTGGAAGTTCGCAGGAAGACCATGTCGGCCTGGCCAGTGCAGTCTCCTAGGGTTCAGGACTTGGACCGACGCATCTTCATCGAGGACCTGGATGCGGGGGTGAAAAGCAAACTGGCAAAGCTCACCGATGGCACTAAGCTGTGAGGAAGCGTGGCCACGCGTCAAGGGAGGCTGAGGATCCAGGCGGCCCTCAACATTAGTTGGAAGCAGATGCTGTTCAGCACTGAGAAGTGTCAAGTGCTCCATCTGGAGAGGAAAAATCTGTGACAAACTTACGGGCTCGGTGGCGCTACACTAGCAAGCACCATGTCTGAAAGGGACCTGGGGTCATAATTGACCATAAAATGAATATGAGCCACCGGTTTGATGCTGCGGTTAGCAGAGCAAGCACTACGCTGGCCTGCATCAACCGGTGCAGCTCAACCAAAACTAAGGAAGTTTTTCTCCCGCTCTACTTGGCCTTGATGAGGCCGCGGCCGGAGGACTGCGGCCGGTTCTGGGCGCCACTTCAAGAAGGATGTGGAGAAGCTTGAGGGAGTCTAGAGGAGAGCCACGCGTATGATTAGAGGCCTGAAGAGCAAGCCCTATGAGGAAAGGCTGACAGATATGGGACTGTTCAGTCTAGAAAAGAGAAGACTTCGGGGGGATTTGGTGGCAGCTTACAAATATATCGCAGTGAGCATCAGGGGCTAGGTGAACAACTATTCACCAGAGCACCCCAGGGGAAGACCAGGAGCAATGGATATAAACTAGAAGGAGGTTTCAGACTGGATATAAGGAAAAACTTCTTCATGATTCGTGTGCCCAGACTCTGGAATAGACTCCCAGCGGGGAGGTGCAGGCACCTACCCTGGAGATCTTCAGTAGGAGACTGGACACACACCTTGCTGGGCACCCCAGCTGTCTTTCCTACCCAGAGCAGGGGGACTGGACCCAAGGATCTCAAGGTCCTTTCCAGCCCCTAACCTTGTGTGAATCTTTGGAGTGAGTTAAAAACAAGCTGCAGGGCTGTGAAATAGGAGCTGCTGCTACCAGGAACAGCAAACAGGCTGCAGAACAAGGGACAGCTTGACAGGTGGAGCAGCAAGATAATGAAAAAGAAGAGGGTTGTTAACACCTGTAGAGTGAAGAGTTTAGGAGGGATCAGTTCGAGGGCAACAAGCTATGAAGTCAAATGACTCACTCAGCCGGGCCCGACTAGAAACGCTGCCACGGCTGCTAGACAGTTGGTTTAAAACTTTGGATGGAGCAGGAATCAATGCAGGGTGCAAGTGCACCCCCTGGAACCACCCCTGGGCCGCCAGGCTTGCTGGCCGGCCAGGAAAGCCCGAGGAGGTGGGCATAAAGCCATGGCCCCAGAGTGCCACCAGGGCAGGGCAGGCTGAGGCTGTCTTTCTGTTTCTAAACCCCATCTTCCCCAGGATCAGGTGACAGTGATGGCTGTCTCCCTCAATGCAAAGCTGCCCCTGTATGAAGAAATAAAAACTGTAGCGGGAAGACTGGAAACCTCTCTCAGCTACTGCTTTACATTGTTCATGCTGGTTCGTCCTTGCACCTAGCTCTGCCTTTAAAAGGCCCGTGGGCTACTTGGACCTGCTGTCCACGGGCACTAGGCTTTCAAAACAGCAGATTTTGGCCCAGGAGCTCCTTCCAATGCAGTGTCTTTAGCAGCAATGATTTGAACTATCCCAGTTCATTGCATCCTGTACCCCTCACCATAGGATCGAGTACCTAAGAGCAGTTCCAGCGTGACTCATACCAGAGAGCGTGGGCTTCAAAGGGGGGCTGAGGAGCCCACTAGAATTTGGGAGAAAGCACTTTTAAAATGCCACATCTGTCCCCTGCTCAGCAGGATGGTGGGAGAGAGGAGCACTTCTGCCCAGCAAGGCAGCAGCAGTCACCACCAGCTACAGCCCACAGGTGACAAAGCCCCAACTGGGCACCAGAGGGGGCTGGTGAACAGCAGAGAAACCATCCAAAGTCTGTGGCCGCCAGTCCCAAAGCAGCCTCTGGCAGGCAGAGTCCCCCGCCTCCTGTTTGCAGTCACTGGGGGTCATTCCAGGAAACACCCCCACCACTCGCACACACATACACATGCACGCACGCACTTTGCCGTGTAAGCTGCCCTTGCAAAAGCAAAGATTTTGCCACTAACTGCAGTCAGCCTAGCAGTCACTGGGAGCGCCAGGATCACTGCTTACAAAGGGCAGCACAGTTCCAGGAAGGAGGGCAGAGGAACACCGCTGGGGTTTGCATCTGGGTTTTAATTCAGTGCCCGGTTTGCCAGGGCTACAGCATGAAAGATCCAGGGTGGAAGCAGGGAGCTGAGGGGCAGGGGAAGAGGGGACACGAAAGAGCTCACTGCTACCTTCTTGCTGCAGGAGGGACCCCCTGGATAACACATGTGAGTGAAGAGAGAGGAGCATCCCACCCTCTCCCAGCAGATAGGCAGGAAATTGCTGTCCCAGGGCCAGGAATAGCAAGCACCGTGACTCCTGCTGGGCCCAGGTGAGGAGGAGTCCTGGGGGGGTTGGGGTCCTCTGCCATTCAGACAGCCGTGGTGCGAGTGCAAGAGGAGGAGGAGAGGTGGGACAGGCCCCTTTGCAGTGGGAGACCCCTGCCAGGAGCCGGGGGGCACACAGCTAGGATCACACACGTCTCACTGACCTGTGGACTGGGCTTGTGTGCTCCCTTGCACATCCCCGTGGGGCCCGCGTGGCTGGGTTGGAGAATGGGTGCTGGCCTTGAGCTTGATCTGCCAGGAATTCGCACAGAGGATCTTGCCAGCGCGGTGGACCAGGCATGTGTACTGCCCCTTGCTGAGCTCAGTGGCAAGAACATGCAGCCCCTGGTGCAGCAGCAGCTCCAAGCCGGGCACGGAGCAGGAAAGGAGCTCCCCATCTTTGTACCACCTGTGGAGAAAGGGGGCAGTGGTGAGAAGTCCAGCATAGCTGCTCTCAGCCAGCTACGGCTGCCAGCATCCCTGCGCAGGTGCGAGCACCTTCTCTGTGCCAGCCTCCTCCAGACACTGCTGAGCGCTCACCTCGCTGCCTGCTGGCCTGCTGCTCAGGGAGGGGCGCGCAGTTGATGCAGCAGTAAAGATGCAGGGACTGATTTTATTCAGGCTTGATCAGAACCAAGGCCCCCGGCACCCGCTGCCATACAAGACATCCCAGCTCAGCTGCCAGGGCCCCCATCTGCTCTGCGTCTGGAAGCAGCCGCCCTCCCCCCTCCCTCCACAGCTCCAGGAGCAGCTCCCTGCCCCGTGGAAGAGGTCTGCTTGCAGAGGCCAAGGGTCGGGCTGGGGCTTAGGCAGCTCAGGGTCAGGGTTGGTAGCTGCTGCCCGGACCCGAGTGACTGCGGGAAGGGTGCAGCCCAGCCTCTCCCCTGCTGCATCTCACCTGACGTGCAGGTGCGGCCTGGAGGAGTTCAGCCCACAGTGGAAGGTGATGACTCTGCCTTTGGAGATGTACCTGGCGTGGGGATGCCAGGCTGGGGGAGTTGGGGGGGCAGCAGGGGCCTCTGGAAGACAGAGAGACACACAGAGCAGTGACACCAGCATCTCTGGGGCCTTGCACCCATCCCCTGCAAGCCCTCTGTCCCCACGGGAAGTTCTCTGCAGGCCTGGCAGGGGCAGCATCAGCGGGACATGAGGGGGTGCCAGGAGGACTTTGCCCTGGGGGGGCTGGGCAGGGCAACAACCCCCAGCTGGGGGCTCTGCAAGGAGCTGGCTGCCATGGGCCGTGCCACTGCGGGGTGAGGGCACCTCACCGAAGCAGGAGTTGCAGATCTTCGGGCAGTGCCTCTTCACGAAGGCTGGCCGGCACATGCAGAACCCCAGGTGGGCCCAGACCTCGCACCGCTGCGTCTCATCCATGCAGCCTGCGGGGTTGCAGAAGGGGTTGGCCAGTGCCCGTGCGAGGCCTGGCAGGCAGCGCCTGGGGGAAGTCACCTTCTGCCCCCCAGGACCACGGCTGCTGGGGGCTAGCCCACAGCATGGGGCAGCAAGGGATCCCCTTGGCACTCCCCACTTCCAGCAGCGTCGGGGCAGAGCTGCCCAAGACACGGCTCCCATCCCATCCCCAGCACGTGCTTCACCCCTTTCCCCTGGGCAGCCTTTGTTTGCCTCCCCCCGACCCAGCCCTGACATGCTCACTGGTGCTGGGCCAGGCACACCGCTAAGGAGCAGAGCCAGGCCCATGCTCTTCCAGCCAGGGTAACATCACAGCAGCACTGGGTCCCTGGCATGTGGCTGGATGCAAGGAGCCTCTAGAGGTGAGTGGTCCCCTCTCCCGATGCCAAACAGCCCGTGTGGTCACTCCTGTGCTTCCCCTGTACCGTACAGTCGCTGCACGGCCCAGACGTCATCCTGGCTGATGCGCCTTGTCCGGCTGTAGGTGGCATTTGGGTACATGAGGGCACAGACGTCTCGGGAATGCCACAGGCCCAGGGCATGGCCAATCTCGTGAGCAGCCACCTGGACTAGGTCATTCATCCAGACCCCTGCCAAGCACAGGCATGCCAGGGAGCAGGGCACCCTCCTGTACTGGGGGTCCTTTCATCCACCTCCGGGCATCTGGGGGCATGACTCCCTCCCCCCATGCGCACACAGTCCCTCTGCCCACACCTCTCCCGCTACTGGGGAGATGGGTTTGGCCCTGGGCATTCACCCTGCAGCCCAGTGGGATGTGGGAGACTGACGTACATGGAACATGCTCCAACATAGCCCCCTGCCCTTGCCAGGCAGCTGCTGAGGCCTGGAGAGGGGCAGAATGGGCCCACGGGGGCACTGGCAGCAGCATGAAGATGACAACCAGTGCGTCAGCAGGGCTGGGGCAATGCACGTAAATGGGTCCACCTGCATGGCTGCTATACAAAGGATGCCCATGTACGTCCCATGCAGGGCACCATCCCACGAGCATGGAGGCCTCGACTGCAGGGGGAGCCAGGTGATGCACTTGCACCCTCCATGCCAAGGGCAGGTGCAGTCACTGCCCAGTCGTAGTCGGAGCCGTGGGGTAGGAGCGCGGGGGCTGCATTTTCACCCCTCGCAGTCTGCATGTGGCTTGCAGGCTACCAGTTGGACGGCCTCGCACTACAGCAGTGGGGGCCAAGCTTTTTAGGCAGGCAGGCAGGTCACAAGGTAAGCCCCACATCCTGCCCCAGTGCCACACCAGTCTCTTTCCCCTGCCTGCTCTGCTTTCTGCTCCCTGCCCCTACATGGGAGCAGCAGCCCTGCTGGGGAACCAAGGGCTGAAGGGGAAGGCAGGCAGGTGTTGTCCCTCTGGCAGGGTGCAGAGGGGGTCCAAGAGCTGAGCCCTTGCTGGTGCCTGGCCACCCCGGGGTCCCACCTACCTTGTTTCCAGCTGAAGCGCAAGTGGCCCAGGATCCAGAACTCATGGTTGTCGAAGTGGATCTCCCCGCAGGGCGGCAGGAAAGCATGGGCCAGCTCCCCATTCAGCCCGTCGAAGCAGCGGTGAGGACCAGCAGTCCGTGTGGTTGAAGGTGTAGAAGCCTGCCCGAGCAACCAGAGGGATGCGAGCTGTGATGGCGTCACGAGGCCGGCAGGGCACAGCCCCCAGATCTAGTCTGCTGGGCTGGGGCACCCTGCTCCCAGGGGCACTGAGCTCAGGGCTTGTGCCAGAAGCAGGGCAGGGCAGGGCAGGGCCCCAGCTCACCGAGGCAGGCATCCAGTCTGTGAAAGCCCATCATCTGTGTCCAGAGAGCTTGAGATGCTGCTGGATGCTCTGCTGAGGCTCAGCCTGGTCCTGGCGAAGGAGCTTGAAGCCCCCATGCTCCTTATCCTGCTGCAGGGTGGGCATGGTATCACAGCGCTTGAGGTCAGTCCCCCACCAATGGGTGGGAGACAGGCTCAGGGCAGAAGGGCGTGGGATGGCCAGGGCAGCCCAGTCCCCTCGCAGCGCACAGGCCGTCCCTACTGATGGTGGTGTCGGCTGGCTGCGCGGGGGGCAGGCGCCGGAAGCGGAGGGGCGAGACATCGCTCCACGTGCGGAAGGCGGCAGCGATGGCTCTCTCCGTGTCACCCCTGTTCAGTGTGCTGGGGAAGCGCACGATCCTGCGGGCCAGGGATGCAGGGGGCATCAGCCAGCACCATCGCCTCTCCCACCTCCTGCCACTGCTCTTGCAGCTGCAGGGGCAGCTCCTGGGCTCTGCCAGCTGTCCAGGCCGGGGTCCCAGCTGCCCTGGCCATACCAGCAGCTCTCACACGGCTGCAAGCCCTGACCATCTCCCTTGATCTCAGCACCCAGCCCCTGGTGCCCACCGAAAGGCAGCAGCTGCCCCCGGGGCTCCATTTTCCATCTCTACCCGCCTATCCCCATGGGGCAGGGACTTGCTGTGGGTCGCATTGCTTGGTGTTAGGGGTCAGGGAGGCACCGATGCTCCCACCCAGCTGGCGCTGGGCGATGGCAGGGCCCGCTCCCTGCACGGTGCTGGGCCCTGGTCTGGAGCTCTGTGCTCAGGGCATCCGCATGGCCGTCACCATGCTGAGCCCAGGACCTCAGGGAACAAGTCACCCCCCCAGAGACAGGCTGGGGTGGAGGGATCAGGAGCCTGGGCTGGGCTGGGCTGCGCAGGGTGCCTGGGAGACCCAGCAGGGCCGTGGGGCAGCGGTGCAGGGATGCTGTAGAGGAGAGCAAGTAGGGCCAGAGGGAGGGGGTCTGCCCCAGCTGCAGGCACTGGCCCAGGCTGCCCTGGGAGTGCAGGGCCCCCACGCACTCACCGATAGGTCAAGTTAACATGGTCCCACTTGTGGCCCAGTGGGTTGATGGCGTACTGCCTCCTCCTGGCCACATCCCCGACACCTCCGTGGGCTGCAGTGGGGCCTGAAGCAGGCGCTGCGCCAGCCTACAGGCAAAGGAGCTGCTGAGTGCTGCCCTGCACCTCTGCCACCCCCAGCCTACACCCAGGGCCCCCTGCACCACATGGCCCAAAGCTGTAGCCTGCCCACCCCCAGGGGCACCACCAGCAAGGGCTGCTCCATGGCACGGCCTTGAGGTGTAGCCCCCGAACTCCCACCAGCTCAGGCAGGCAGCACTCTGGCTGGAAGTCTAAGTGCACCCCATTCAGCGCAGGGGTCCCTGCCCCAGCCCTTCACCTCCTAGGTTTCCCCTTTCCCAAGCAAGGGGGCAAGCCCATGGGGTCCCCTAGGAGCGAGAGGACCTCAGGGGCAGGGGCACACAGTCTCCATTCACCCCTGCAGCCCAGCCGGATGTTTGCAGGATCCACAGAGCAGCTGGCAGCAGGAGAAGGAGGGAGAGCAGAGCAACTGCTGCCCCCAGGCCCCCACTCCACAGCTGGCTGGGGACAGGAGGTCCCAGGGACATGGCCTGGCTCAGCTCTGCCCTCCCAAGTACAGCTGATCCCTGACAGTCCTGTGCTGGGGGGCCTCCCAGACCTGCCCCATGCGAGCGCACATGTCTGTGTGGAGCGCCAGGCAGCCCCAGCCCTGCTAGATTGGATCCATCTGTGTGGGATAGGAAGCCGCGCTCTGCTCCGCTCTCAGCTCCTCACCCACACCCCGGCCCCTTCCTGGCGGTGCAGGGTGCGAACATCTCACCTCACAGGACTGGGCACTGACACCCACCAGCCCCCACTCTCCACTGGGGGTCCTGGATCTGGCCTCTGAATCTTTCACTGAGCCCCACGTCACCTCCTGCCTTCCTACTCCATGGGAATAGCCAGAAGCCCCTGGCTCCGAGGGAGGAGGGTCCTGGCCAGGGCCAGGGCTGTGGGCCTGCAAGTGGGAACTCTGTCCCCCAAGGAGGCCAGGGCTGGATACCCTCCCAGCCCCAGTCCTGTAGCCCTGCTGCCCCAAGGGCCAGGGCTCAGGGGGCTGCTGGGTTCCCCTAGAAACAGGCTGAGCTAATCTCACTGCCAAGCACAGGGGAGGGCTGAGGCTAGCCTTGCCAGAAACGCAGCGGAAAGGGGGCAAAAACGTTTCCCCTTGGAAAGCCACCATGGCTGGGAGGATTGTCCATGGGCAGGGAACAGAGGGGAGGTGGCGTTGCCCTGCTGCCACAGGCCCAGACAGTGTGGGGCCAAGCACAGCACAAGAGCAGTTTGCTCTGGCTGCAGACACCCAAGTGCTACTTTCCACCAGGCACACGTGCTCCCCTCCTGGCAGAGAATAAAGGCCCTTGTGTGTTTCCTGCCCGGGCTCTGGTGCAGGGCGCAGCAAACAATAACCCAATTTTCTAGCCCGTTAGAACACCGGCTCCCGCAAGACACAACGCTGTTGCCGAGGCGGGGCGGCTGGCACAGCCCACCAGGATCCCATTTCAGCACATGGCTTTGTGATGTAGAAGCAGGCTCCCCTCCTTTGTTCTGCATGACAGCCCTGTGTCAGGGGTGAGGGGGAAAACCTTGGAGCCACGTGTTATTTGCACCCTCCTTTCCCAGCCTCCCTCTGCCTGGCTGGGCTCTGTGCCTGATGCAGGGAGCAACATGCAGACATCCCTTCCTGCTGGGGGGTGTGCAGGATGCCTTGCCTCGCTGCTGGGCCTGCTGCACCCTGTGCACTGTCCCAGAGCCTGGGGGCACCCAGCTGTGAGTACTCACATAGCACCACAGCTTACCCATCATAGGTGGGGGGCACTGGGCTCAGACCTCACTTCAGCTACTCCCCCCAGAGACAAAGGGGGGCTGGTAACAACCCTGCCCTTGCAGAGCACCTAGTTAGCAAGTAGGGCTGACATGCGGCTACTACATTTCAGGAGCTTCCAGACAGAAGTGGGGCTCACACAGGCTAGACAGAGCAGTGCAGGGGCAAGGAGCCATCCAGGACACAAGCTCCAGTGCTTGGCAAAAGCAAGGCTATACCATGAGCTCCTATTACACCGGCACCCACTGCTGCAGGGGTGAGCAGAGGTGCTTGCCTGAGCCTGCAGTGGGACAGCCAGCTCCTGTCACAACCGCAGTCCATGGAGAACTTCACCCATGCCCGCCTCTGGGAACATATGTCAGCCTCACCTTTCACTGGAGCAGAGGCACCCAGACCCAGATCCAAGTCCACACAACCGGGGGTCTGTGCCTCTGGTCCTGGGCTAGGGGAAGCCACGAAGTCCCAGAGAAGTTGCCTACAGGCACCAGGGCAGAGACCAGTATCTTGTGGCAGGGCTCCCTGCTGCAGCCAAGTCAGGGAAGCCAGCGGCCAAGTGAGCAGTGCTGCAGCCAGAAGAGCTGCTCTTGCCCCTTCCACTTCACGCACCAGCTTCTCTCCCTTGGTGACTGGAAGACCCCAGCCCCAGCTCCTCCACAGCCCAGGGACAGCAGCACAGGCAGCCATATCCATTCTACATACTTTATTAGGTCTAGAACCGGACAAAATCACAAACTGTATGAAATGGAGACCACACTATCAGAAGCAGAGGATTGTGGGTAGCAGCAGCATTCCTATGGGCCCAGAAGCATCAGTAGAAGTGTGGAGAGTGGCGGCTGGGGCAGGGGCTCGGGCTCTTACTGGCCATTTCCATTGCAGGCTGGAGGACGGACCCCGTCATTCCCATCCCGGAGAGTTAGGCTGCCCCGCACCCTGGTGCCATGCAGTGATGGGACAACTTCTGGCTCCAGCAAGCCAGCAGGTGAGGGACATGGAGGGGTGGAAGAGTGTTCCAAAAGGACCTGGCCTGGGCTTTGAAATGCTGCGCCACCCACATACACACCAGCAAGGGGGCAAACCCTCATGCTGTTTGGTCACAAACCTCCCCGCGGCAGGACTCGCTACTGAAGACTTTGCAAGAAACAAAAGGTGGCCAGGCCCAAAAGCCCAGCACCCCCTTTGGCGTCTCAGAGCATATAGCAACACCTACCACAACAGCAATAGCTAGTACAGAGCCAGGTTAGCGTCAACTCAGATTTGTCCAGTCTATGGTTTTTCAGGCCTATTCTACGAGTACATATGCACAACAATTTCAAAAATACTAGGATATGATGCCAGTAGTGAGACACCAACAGAAGGAGTTTAATGGTGGACGCTCCCTAGAAAGATCACGAGGGACGTGGTTAGACTAGCCCTTCCCTGCCCTGGGACAGAAAGCAGGAGGTTGACGATGCTCCTGTCCATGGCTGGGTTCTGAACTTCGGCTGTGACAGGTCACAGGCGGATCAGTCCGTTCCCAAGAGCCACGGGCATCTGTCAATCCATGTGCAGAGGGGGCCAGACGGATGTTCTCTGAACGTACTTGGAGACCGAGGAGACTGGGGGGTTGGCTGGGGAGAGAGGGAGCCCGCCAGCCTCTCGGGGCTAGCATCTGGTCTCGTAGATCCCACTCCTGCCAATGTACCTCACCCATTTTATCACATCGTGGTCACTGTAGTTCAGCTTTGGCTCAAAGACTTTCAGGTAACGCACCTTCAGCCCAGAGGGTGCGAACGGGACCTGTGCAAAAGAACAAACGACAAAGGTTGAGCCGGGCTGACAGGAGCTGCAGGAACATGGACCAGGAGAACCACTGCTCAGGCCCACATCCAAGTAAGAGGGCAATGGGTATTGGGGAAGAGCTCTGCCCTCTATCAGAGAACAACACTGGAGGCGGCTTCAATCCTTACCCATGCCTGGGTCTCCCTAGACGTCTGAGCTGCACAAGAGCTCCCGGGGCAAAGGCAGTGACACAGTGCCCTTCAGGCCAGACCTGGCTCCTGCATGTGTGGAGTCACCTACCTCAAAGTTCATGGAGATGGGCGGCCGAGCCCATTTCTTCTTGTCATTGGTGGGCAGTAGCTCTATCTCCGCACTGATCTGGGATTCCTTCATTCCAGCCATGCGCTTAATCCTAGTGGAGAGAGCCAGATGAGTCAGAGCCTAGGTGGCACCTCTTCCCCTCCTCCCCCTATGCTCAGGGCAGAGCAGAGCAGAGCCGCTAGCACCGATTTGTGCCCTGCTGTGGACTTGGGGCCCAAGTTCACTCACTTCCAGACAATGGCGTTCTCACTGGCCTTGTACTTGGCCTTCCCCTTCATGCAGATGACCTGCACTCCACTGGTGTTGAGTGGAGTTGGGATCCGGACCTGGAAGAAGGAGCAGTTGGGCAGGCCCAGTCTGGTCAGCGCATGCAGCTGTGCGTGAGGCTCCAATCAGTTTGCCCAGGTGCTGTAGCATTGGTCCTTGCCTTGGTCCTCCCTACAGCCTCCATTTCAGGGCCCTGTCCACTACTGGTTAGTGTGGACTAAATACCAAATGCCACTCCAGGTGTTCTGGAGTAGGTCTCTACCTAGTAGGGAGTGGAGGCTTCAGAGCCTGGGGAGATGCACAAACTGGCCATCTGTGCATCTCCCCAGGGACTGGGGAGAACTGGGGTTAAGGGAGCCAGGCCAGGAGTGGCCAGAAGCCTCTCCCTTCAGCTCAGGCAGGCAGCTGTGCTTCAGGAAGCGAGGCCACACTGGTTGGCAGGCCCCCCTGGAGCAAGGGTGCGCCCACTGCAGTAGGTCTCAAGGGACCAGACTGCATAGGAACAAAAGACCTGTCAAGGGTCCTGTCAACAGCAGTCTGGCACAGAAAGTTCTATACTGCAACCCAGACCAAGAGCAGTGGCATATCCAGTAGTGATGTGCATGTTGCATCACTCTTTGCCGCTTGCCTGAGGCAGCATCAGGCAAATGCAAGACCCCGAAGAGCTCAAAACTCTGGAATGCTCTGAGAGCAGCCTCTGCGCAGGAAACTGAAAGACAGCATGTGGGGCTGGCTCAGGGCCTGGGAGAAGGAATGGAGCCATCTACAGAGCTGGGCTGGTGCCCCTCATTCTGTGGCTCTGGCAGTTTTGCCAGACCTAGTGATGCTTCCTTCTGGTCTCAGCCTGAAGTCAAAGACACTAGGGCCTTGCTAAGCCTCCTGCTGCGCTCTTCTGGGGTCGTTCATCTCTTACCTCTATCTTCTGGGCAAGCAGGGAGGGCTTGAAGTTGGATTTGATCACCACCTTCACTTCCAGCTTGGTGCGGCCCACCTCCCGCACCAGGGGGATCACACGGAAGGGGAGGATGATGTCTTTAGTGGTTCGGTATCTGCGCAGACACAAGAGTGACAGGTCACTAGAGCCTGCCATGGAGGATGCTCCAGGGGCATCAAATAGCTGCTGCCCTTCCAAAGCCAAGTTGGGAGGCCATCCATGGCTGATAGGAGAGCAGTCATAGAGAAGTTTAAATGAATCATGTGGAAGAGGGGAAGCAGAGGCCACGGTCAAGAACAGCTCTGGGAGCCTGGATTCCCAGCTCCTCTACAGATTGATGGTAGGGCTTGGTTCTCAAGAACTACACCCTCTGGGCACGGCTGGGTAGTGGATGAAGGGGCCCTGGGCTTCAGGGCAGAACGGTGGTACCACCATACTGCCAGGAAGGTTTGCAAGGCTCCAGTTTTAGCTGGTGGAGAACACAACTTGGACAGGATGAGGTACAAGGGCAGAATATCCTGTTGAGGGCTCCAGG